GCTCGTGACTGTGGTCTTCTGGAGCAGGATCGAAAGAAAACAGTTCAATAGAAGTCTCGGTCTTATAGTCGACACAGTCTTGGGAGGTGAAGGAAGGCTGCGGTATTGGGACGTTGAACGACGTTGGAGCCCTGAAGGCGTCGCGCAGAGAGAGAAGCAGCTCAGCATCTTCTCGAGTGACCTGGGTCTGGTACGTATGACTGCTTCGCGGTCTTTCATCCCGTAGTGACCATTCTGCGGCGTGTAGTCGCTCGGACTTGATCCTCTTCGCCGGGCGATCAAACGACTCTTGAGCATATCCATTCATGTATGATGTGTTCGGGCGAGATGCGGTGACGATCGGAGGACTGCCACTGAAGGCGAAGGCGGTGCTTGAGTTGTGGAACTGCGGACTCGTGGCGATAGCTATATTCGCCAGGTCGTCGATGGTCGAGCCGGATCGGGTGTGACCTCTGTTCTTGGGAGGGCCACGGTATTGACTGGACGAGGAGCGAGCATTGTAGCTTCGACTGGATTGTGCCGTGTGGTCGTGGTGGATGGCATTGTACTGTGGTGATCGAAGTTTAGCGCCCAGGTGAGCACCCCCATTCTGGTCGAGGTAGAGATGGTCGGGATGGGTAGCTGATCTCTCTTGAAACGATGCCGGGGACAGTCCGAGTCCATGTAGGTCGCCGATGGCGTGCTCTTTCTTCTTGCGACTCGAGTGTGTATGTGTGGTCGGGGTGGTAGGGTCGGGTTCGGGCGACAGGCGCTCGATCGAATCGGCCGGCGGCCGGTCAGGACTGACTCCTCGTCGCGGAGTGCTCTCGGTCCTTCGTCGCCATGCTGTGGAAGTGGGCATCTTGGCTGCTGGTGGTGCGGTGCAAGTCGAGTTTATGGCGTCGCGCAGGCGGGGTTGCTGGAGAGACAGCTCGTGCAAAGGCCTGCAACAAAGTAGTGTCACCGTGGACGGCGCGAGGAGAGCATTGTATAGAAGACAGTATCGTCATTCACGGTGGGGGCGAGTGTGCAGCAAGAGTGGTGGTGGTGGGTGTTTGGTGAAAGTCGCTGTGAGGCCGAGTGAATGTGCTTGCTCAACTCCGAACAGACCAATTTCACAACCATGTGACTAGCGCCCTTTTTACTACCACAATACAACTGCGCTCGACGCTGCAACACACGAACAGGTCCGGATAGTCGACTGCCTGTTGTTTCTAGACTTCGAAACTGACCCTTCTCCATTTGATTCTTGTATCAGAGAGGAGAGAAGCCCTTGGCATCGGTCTCGTCATCTCCCCAGTGGTGCAGCCTCGTTAACTTCGCCGCAATCGATTTTGTCATAGCAGACGCTTCCCCATCGACGACCTAGAGACCTGTGGGAACATCCGCTTGATTGTCAAGAAGAGACGTCTCAAAGAAAGACCAACCAGCATGTCTCGCAGCAACAAACTCGCGCCCGAAGCGAACCGCATCCTGTTCGTCAAGAACCTTCCCTACAACGTCGACACGCCAACCCTCTTCGAACTCTTCGGCAAACACGGCCCAATCAGACAGATAAGAGCCGGAAACTCCAACACCACCAAAGGCACAGCCTATGTCGTGTACGAAGACGTCATGGATGCAAAGAATGCCTGCGACCGACTAAATGGATTCAATTTCATGAACCGCTATCTTGTTGTGCTGTACCATCAGCCAGAGAAGATGAAGGTTACGAGTGCGGCAGATGATATTGCGACACGGCAGGAGAATTTGGAGAAGATAAAGCAGGAGCATGGCATTGATTGAGCTCGTTTGTGTCAGCCTGACAATTTGGCGGACACGAAACGTCTTGCCATTGTTTGCTGGTGGCTTGTCATACTACCATCTCAATTGCACTAGCGGCGCTAGGTCAGGCAGCGATTGTAAGGTATTGAGGCTGCGAAGCGTTGATGCAAATGAATGCTTGAAAAAGCGATTCAGATAACCGAGGCCATGTAGAAGACTGAATAACCCCAGATCCACGTTGTCAGACAGTGAGATCAACCGCTAGCTGCACTGAGAAGGGCAGGCCAACTAGAGCAGTGCACGGAGAGTCATGCCTACACAGAGACCAGAAGAAAAAGACTCGGCTGAGGAGGATCCCACGCTCAGTACCGGACTCATCGTTGACTATGTTGAAGAAAGTATATCTCTCAAACAACAATGACCTGTACCACAGGTGAAACATTCATTAGGAAACGGATGCGAGCAAAGGAGAACAGAAGACAGAGATTGTTGTTGATTCGAATATCGTCCTGTCCTCCTCGGCCGAATTCCTGTGCTTTCCTTTATTCTGTCTTGGTGCTCTGAGGAACAGACACATGTGGAAACTCAGCCAGAAATTATGCATGTGCAAGAGCTACAAAGTATTGTTTAAACGGTAACCCCTTCGCAGGCAGGAAGATGCTATGTAGGAGCAATAAATCCTGATCTCTATCATGCTTGCTGTAAATACCACTTTTGAGGCCGTCGTGTCATTCTCATAGAACCAAGAGCACATCACAACATAGTTAATGCAGCAGCCATGGGCAGCAGTACAAGTCTACTGTTCATTCAAATGCCCTCCGGAGCATCCGCCTAGACACTCCGTACTCCTCGCATGCATCACGTTTCACATCACTTCTACCCGCTCAAGGCCATGCTGATGCAACATTACCAGTCTCTCCCCTTCCCTTCTCTCTAGAAATCAGCCAGGCAATCAGTCATTTCACCCCACTTACTTAAAACTCAGCGGCATGGGTTGATCCAGCTTCTTGTAGTCCTTCCACCCCTGATCCTCCAGCCTGGCAGCCTTCGCCATATTCTCGTCATCCATCTGCTGGAGATGGTTGGCCAACCACTCGGCGACTCTTGGTTCCGATGTGCCGATAATCCTAGCAGCAAGCAGGATGGCGTTGGTGGAGTTGGCGATGCCGACCGTCGCCACAGGGATACCTCGTGGCATCTGGACGATAGCGAACAGGCTGTCTAGACCGTCCATGGAGGACGCCTTGACGGGACATCCGATGACGGGGACTGTGGTTTCAGAGGCCATCATGCCGGGGAGGTGGGCGGCTCCGCCGGCTGCGGCGACAATTGCTTTGAAGCCGCGTGATGCCGCTGCTTTGCCGAAGTTGAGCATGTGTTGAGGGGTTCGGTGCGCGGAGGTGATGGTGACGAGGTAGGGAATGGGGATCTTGTCAAGGAGTTCCAGGCCGGGACGTAAGGTGGCGAGGTCGGTGTCGCTGCCCATCACGACAGCTAGCAGTGGCTTCACTGGGGGTGTGGGGTTGCGGCGGAGGAGGTCTGCTGCAGTAGAGGAGATGTCGGAGTCGGAAGTGGCGGTTGAGGAGCGGTGTGCGCGGATGGCGTCGGCGACGACGACAAGAGGGTGCATGAGCTGTTCGATTTCTGAGTGGGAGGAGCCAGTCATGGTTATGTGACCCATTTTTCGTCCTGGTTTGCCCGGTCCTTTGCCGTATATGTGAAGTTTAGCACCTGGCGTGTTGAGCGCTGCATTAACCAGTAATTCATGGGAGTCAGGGGCTGGTCCGCCGAGGATGTTCAGCATGCATGCAGCGTTAACGGTGAGTTCTGTGGCGCGTGGTTTGATTGTGCCAGCGAGATTGGGGAGGACGGCACGTAGATGAGCTTCGTACTGCGACATGTGGCAGGCTTCGATGGTATAGTGGCCCGAGTTATGCGGTCGGGGGGCGATCTCGTTGATGAGGAGGGTGTCATTTTCGAGGAGGAAGAGTTCGACGCCGAAGACACCAGTGCCAGGGAAGCTTGAGACTGCTTTGCGCGCTAATTCACGTGCCTGATTTTGTATCTTAATCGACGTCTCTCGTGGTGGGGCATAGACGAGTTTGCAGATGCTATCTTCGTGGATGGTTTCAACGGCAGGGTAGGCAAGAGTTGACTCCTCCCAGTTGCCGCCTGCTTCTTGCTGGGTCTTCACGACCATCACAGCGAGCTCCTTTCTGAAAGGGGCCCATCGCTCAGCGTAAAGGGGTCGATCTCCTAGTGCTTGGAGGGCCGGCTCAATATCTGATAGAGCCATGACTGGATAGTTCCCTCGACCATCGTAGGCTTGAGTACGGGCTTTGAGCATGATAGGGAGGCCACCAAGTTCGAGAGCGATATCTCTGAGACCGTGTGGACTGGTTGTGCCGACGGCTTTGCTGTCTGCTGTAGGAATGCCATGTTGGGCCAGATGTTGTTTTTGGGCGTATTTGTCTTGAATACGTCGGACCGTTTGCCAACTAGGCTGTATGCGTTTCCATTGAGTGTTGGGTATATATGGGGTTTCTTCTTCGAGCTCTTCAAGGACTTTTGTGTCGACGTGTTCGATTTCATATGTTATGACATCTGCGTTAGCTGCTAGCTTTCGGACATCTGATGCATTAGCAAATGAGCCTGTTACGTGAACATCGTTGGCTATCAAGTTGATCTGTTTTGCCGGAGCATTCTCAGAGTCCAAGATCGCAACTTTTATGTTGAGATTGTGGGCTGCCTCTACTAGCATTCGACCTAATTGGCCGCCGCCGAGGACGCCAACGGTGTAATTACTGTTCATGATTTTTTTAAATGGTCTGACGGCCAAGGTGTTCAAGGGTATTAACGGCGTTCGTCTGAGACGCCTGAGTATGCTGATTTTAGGAGCAAAGTCGTGGTGGTACAGTAGCAACTTTTTCCGCACAGAAAATGTTATACTTTGATCAAACGGAGATGTGAGTGAACATTCCGAGGGGATTCTATCGATAAAATTTATTCTTGGCAGAGTCTTCGAGACACAATTGCTCTCTTTGTGTAGCGAGAGAGTACTACACCTTCTACGTTTCAAGTGGATAGAATAACAGTAGAGCTGTGGTTTTAATAAGAAATCGTGCATATAACCAAACCTCTTCTCCGATGTGGCTCAACGCTCAAACGCGCTTACCATCCAACCGGGGTGCGCCCCCACATTCTGCTTGGTGAGAGCTATATATTTTAGACGGCAAGAATTTTAACCATAAATCACCTCCGGAATGGTGTAATGGTTAACATCGCTCGCTCTCATTTACTTCTCATTAATCGAAGTGTGAACCGAGCAGCTCGGGGTTCGATTCCCCGTTCCGGAATTTGTTTTGCCTTTTTGTGGGTTCCAAACATCAAAAGTGAGTCAAAATGAATTTTGGCTTCGTGGGACATTGTTTGGTACGAATGAGCAGCAGATATCACGCCCAAGGTCAATGATTATGTAGGAGAAAGCGAAGAATGTTCTTACCGGGTTTTTGTAGGGGCAGCAATAATTTGATCATGGATATAAAGAACAATGTTTGAGCAACACCTTTAAAGCTAATCACAACTTCTCATCTGTACTGCATCTTCTGGCCACCTCTCTTCTCCATCTTTTGCTGTCTCTTGCTCTGCGCTTGCACGCTGCCATCACCCTCACCTCCAGCACCTGCCATGCCTCCTAACATGCCTTTTAGCCCGCTCGCTGTAGTCACAGCAGCATAGGTCGCATATATGGGCACGACCAAATACAACCACCAACCACGGTTTCCAAAGGCGACTACAGCGATGAGATTGATCCATGTCCAGTAAATAATGTCCCAGAAGAATTCCGTCAAGCCAGGTGCATCCAAATCTTCCCCAGCTCTTTTGAGGTTTCCTGCTTCGTCATACCTGGGTCGTGCAATCGTATCAAGCCAATACTCAAGGCCCAGTGCAGGGGCACAGAGAGTGAGGTATGGTGTAAGCCTGAGAGATCTCCGGAAGGTGAAGGCGAGCAAGAGGAAAAGGGCGTGAATGACGAGAGTGATTAGATGGGTCTGCTTCAAGCGCGCTGAGTTCTTGACAGCTAGCTGTTTGGCGGATTTCTAGATGACCGCGCTGTCAGCGATCATCTAGCACGGATGGCCTTCGTCCCACATACTTGAGCCATGATTTGGAAGAGTCACTGAATGTGATGTGCGGCCCAGCAGGTTACGTCAAAGCGCAGGTCTTGCCTGGTAGAGTCATGAACTCTGGCGTCGGTCACAACTTGTGTTAGTAGTATAAATCTTAGGACAAATTGGGTCGTAGCAAGGAGAATGAATTGTTTAAGTGGTCGCCAGTGGGCGATGACGATGGCGCTCCCCACTGCGCGCTGCCTTTCCAATGTGTGGCTCGTGAGCGTTGTGGCACTTTCCAGCCTCTTTACTTCCGCATTCATCATAACAACGCCTCGTGGCCAGCGAAAACAACCGCCGTCCACAAGTCTATTGATCCCATAATAGTGTCACCTCACCATCCTGGAGTTGGCTCCTGCACTTTGACGGGCCAGCAAGCTTATGATGATTTACGAAGTGAAGGTGTCGCGCGGTTAATGACACTCATTTGTTTACAACACTCCATACATGCAAGCAGCGCGCCTTCTTGATCTGCCACGACGAATCTGCCAGCAAATGACGACCGATCACGTCCGATGAGCCTTTACACCCATCGCATAATATCTCGTAAACACGGCATCGACACGGTGCACGAATGGCGCCGCCAATCGTGTCAATCAGCAACCAGCTGCGGCAGTTAATATACTACCATCTTGACAATAACCTTTTGAAGAACGCCTTGTTCCTCGCTCAAAGACTCGTCGCGTACGAAGGCCCTCGAGCGGCCGAAGCCGCTTATCTTCTAGCACTATGTCAGTTTCAATCTGGCTTTACGAAAGCGGCCTGGGACACGAGTCGACCGTTCGCAACAAAAGGCGCCAACCTAGGCTGCTGCTACGTCTTTGCGCAGGCCTGTCTTGAATTGGGAAAATACATTGATGGTTTACATGCGCTCGAAAAGAGTCGGCAGCTGTGGCAGAATCGCAACACATGGAATCAACACAGTGAGTCAAGACGGCAACATCTACCCGACGCCGCGGCGGTATTGTGCTTGAAGGGCAAACTGTGGAAAGGCCACAAGAACATGGATGAGGCCGTACAGTGCTGGGTCAGCTCATTACGCCTCAACCCGTACATGTGGGATGCATACACATGTCTGACTGACTCGGGCGCAAAGATAAACGTATCGAACATTTACAGACTCAACCAGGATATGGTTAATGCCGTTCACGCCTCCTACGCATCAAGAGAAAACCAGCAGGAAAAGCAGACATCCAATATACCACAACAACACCAACAAGCCAATCCTCAGTCAATACCGGACCCATTCGTGTCTACTCAGAGGGCAAATGGTCACGCTAGTTCTGTGTTGTACGAAAAGCTGAACAACAGCAAGATCAATATTAACGCCGCCAATAATATCCACGACGAGGAAATGACGGCCACCCCGTCGACTGTGGTAGATCCGGAAGACAGCATGATGCAGCCTGCAAATGGCAATACGAGATGGGAGGCTCCGACTGCACCTTTGAGGAAACCAAGAAGTGTGGTGGAAGCGCAACCGGAAGCACCCTCAAGGCTCAAATCTACGTCATCGAGAGTGAGGACCAGGCTAAAAATGACGACCGAAGATCCTCTGCATGAGCCCCCGCTGCCTGGGCCGCCTTCTAAGCGAACGGTGTCTGGGCATATGGCTCCAACGACCACATCGACACAAGCAGCTGAACCTGTGAGGCGAACAACGAGATCACAGACATCTCGGCCTCCAAGTGCAACATCTACGACTAAGATGAGTTCAATAGCAAACTCTCTGGGCTTACGACAAGAACGGGATATCAAAAAGGCTAGAGCCCCTGTCGTCAAGCCTGCGAGAACTGCTACCACAGCCACTGTAGGCAGAGCCGTAAGTGGCAATCGAATAAAGACTGCACTCAGTGCTGAACCTTCCGACCAAGAGGGCAAAGAGTCGCGCGTGCCACCAGTACCATTCGTACCTCAACCAGCTCCTGCTCCCGTGGCACGAACGGAGTCATACGTCGAGCGAGATCTAGAAGCATTGCGTACCCTCCTTGACCTCTTCTGTCGATTAGCCTCTGCTCATCACGCACTATCACATTATGATTGCCAGTCAGCCATCACAATCTACAATTCTCTACCATCAGCTCAACGAGAAACACCTTATGTCCTGTCGCAAATTGCAAGAGCTTACAATGAATCAGCACAATATGCTGAAGCAGAGAAATACTTTATTCGGGTCCGTCAGCTAGCGCCGTCCCGTCTCGAAGACATGGAGATTTACAGCACAGTCCTGTATCAGCTCAAATCAGAAATCGAGCTCGCATATCTTGCTCATGAACTAGTTGAAGTTGAGCGGAACTGTCCGCAAACTTGGATCGCGATCGGCAACTCCTTCTCCCTGCAGCGCGAGCATGAACAAGCCTTGAAATGCTTCCGTCGTGCAACACAACTTGATCCGTCTTTCGCATATGGCTTTACCCTGCAAGGCCACGAGTACATTGAAAACGAAGAATTTGAGAAAGCTCTTGAAGCATATCGGTCTGCCATTGCTGCAGATCAGCGGCACTACAACGCTTGGTACGGTCTTGGCAAGGTCTACACGAAGCTCGGTAAGTGGTCCGTCGCAGAATCGCACTATCGAACGGCTGCGAGCATCAATCCGTCGAATGCAGTGTTAATGTGTGCGATTGGATCGGTGATTGAGAAGCAACAGCCCTTGGGCGAGGCCCTAAAATTTTACGATCATGCTTGTCGACTGGCACCGAAGAATGCTTTGAGTAGATTCAAGAAGGCACGATGTCTGATGGGTCTTGGGAGACCGGAAGAAGCGCTAGCCGAGCTTGAGATTCTGAAGGACATTGCACCTGATGAGGCGAATGTCTGGTTCCTGAGCGGCCGATTGTGCAAGATGTTGAACAGGAAGGGCGATGCTGTGAGAGCGTTCACCGTCGCCCTTAATCTCGATCCGAAAGTATGCCAATTCCCGTCCTCGAACCCCATTTTAGAATATCCACTAACAAAATCTACCAGGCTGCACAATACATCAAAGATGCAATGGAAAGTCTCGATGATGATGAAGATCTCGCTGATGCTGACGGGGATGAAGAAATGGACTGATGACAGCAGGTGACTTGCAACACAGCTTGAACGTGTTCTACTTTATTTTGAGACGGCAACCATAAAACGAGGCTGTTTTGGAGATGTTGCTACAGGACATTATAATATTTGCTTTCTGCATAGCGTGGCATTTTGGTACATCGCATGGCGTCTAGGCATGAAACAAAGCACGGAGAAAGGCTTTACGAGGTGGATGATGCGCCATGACACACTCAATCCTGGGAAGGAAGTTATGAATAAAATTACAGCTCCATCCTTTGCACAATTTTGCCTTCAAGCTGTTTTGTAGCACTATTCAGACCCTCAGGCCTAGCCAATATGGAAGTCTATACACAGAAGTGACCGTCGTGGCACCCAACACTGTGGCTGAAGGACAGAATTTTGGTAGTCAAGGAATGCCTTGTCCGAATACGTCGTCGAGATGAGTACTAACAGCACAATGAATCACCATGCACGATGGCGGTACTTAACCTCTTAAGGCCCACTGTTGCTGTCTCACAAACAACAGCTCTTACTATATGCTTCGCTTCACTTACCGCCGTTTTAAAGGTACACACTAAATCTACACACAGACCACTAGTCTCAACACGTCCATCGTAGCAGTCATCAATCTCGAGGTCAAAATGACCTCTTGCTCCTCCTACACTATCCGTCCCGCCACCGATGCTGACCTCGCCTCATTACCAAGCATTGAAAACTCAGCAGCGACTGCATTCCTAGTTGACCCGGACCTAGCACCTGTGGTCGCCGACGATCCCATGCCCATCTCCGCACATACCGAGTATCTCCACGAATGGCTCTCACACGATATCGGGGATGGAGGAACTTGGGTCGTTGTCGCCCACTCTGACCCTCAGTCTACTGAGAACAGGGAGGAGGAAGGTGTGGTGACCGAGATTGTTGGGTTCGTGGTTACTTCGCTGCTCGAAGTACGTCATGCTGGTGACCACCATGACGGTTTCGTTGGCGGTGGCAGGGAAGACCACAGTGATGAACTGGCCGAGCCAGAGGTAAAGGCGAAGCAGACCCGTGGCAGGCGTTATTACATCCATGTCCATGAACTCGCGATCCACACTTCCCATCAACGACGTGGCTTGGGAAGACAGCTCCTTAGTACAGTTGTAGAATGT